CATTAAGTGTTATCAGAGGAGTTAACAGTAGTAAATTTAGTAAAAGATCAAGATTAAACATGTAGACATCATAATTATAACAGCTGGTAAATCAATATTACAAATTTGCCAAAATTATAGTTTTATGTTTTACATTTTTAGATGGATGCTAGACAATTCTGTTGCTTAAAACAGCAGGTTCCTCTGGCTGGTTCATGAACCAGAAGCCACAGTGGTCGAACTTCTCACCCAATCTCTAACGGAGAGGCCAGCCACCCTTCTGAACGAAGCTCATTTCTGCTTGTATCCGCGATCTTGTTCTTTTGGTCACTACCCACAGCTCGTGACCATAGGTGAGGGTAGGGACGTTTCTTAACTTTCTGAAAGTGCATTTTGCACGTTTTTGCAAGTTCATCTACAGCTGTTATTACTCCTGTGCACTAGTGCATGGACTGATGTATAAATGTCTGGAAAATTTTTTAAAGATTGCTGAATTCTAGGGTATGTTTTTAAGCATTTCCTTCCAGTTATGTATGTGCAGTTTCCTGTGTTTGCTGCAGACTGAGCAACGTTTTGTTGGCAGGTTTTAATGTCTGTCTTTTGGCCAAAGTTCTAATTGCCAGATTCGGATCCACACTTCCTTTCCTGATTCTCATTATGAGTTTTTCATATTTTACTTATTAAGTCATAGAAACTATGTGATACTGTCCAACAGAATAATAGAACAGGATTGCAGAGCTTCAGAAGTCGCCTTAGAGTCTTTTGGTTCAAAATAGTTTAATTAATGTCCCTGGATATTAAATAATCCAGGGACTGTTGTCAGTATTTTCAATGCTGCACTGCAAACAATAACTGTTAATAATTGTTTCAGCAAACTTCAATTGTTACCAAATACAGTCTAAACGAACGTTTCTGCCACTGTGTAACTCAGTTCAACACAGTAACCTGAAGGGTCCATCCATTAGGACCCCATCATGATTTGGGCTCCGCCTCCAGACAGTTAACAATATCTTTACACTCACAAGAAGGATTTCTCTCCAAACGGAGACAGCTACTCACTAGAGTGTAAAACTGTACCAGCACATTCAAAGGAGACAATCAGGTGTTAACGATGGCTTCTTTGTGTGCGCAGCTGAGTTCTGCGCACACTAGTTGTTGAATTTACGTCCAAAGAATTTGGTTTTGCCTGTGATTATTTTCTTGCACATTTGTTGTGACATAAATAACATTCTATAGACTCTGCATTATATTAGAGCCCACTGTGTAACTAGGTTCTAACACTATATTTTGGTCCTTAAACACTTATTTCAAAGTAAGCATGGTGTTAACAAACTCCATCACCTGCACACAGTCTGTGCTCATATGTTCAGGTATTTATCACAGCACTTTCTAAAACACTTCCACATCGGATACACCTTTTTCTTCATCTGCTCCAGGCACATTTATGGAAATGGAAGATCCTTTGTGATTGTTGAAAGGAAACAATTTCCATGTCAAAGAAGAAAAGAGGACATGAGGAAGGCCTAACAGTGTCTCCACTTCCTGAGAATCCTCAAAAAAATGGACCTGCTTATCGTCTTCTACAGCTACTCCATTGAAAGTGTGCTGACAACTGCATCTGTGTGTGGTTCTCCAGCAGCACCATGGCACAAAAAAGCACTTCAGAGGGTAATGATGAAGTGATGTGGTTACCTGAGCATGTCAGATCCACAGTGGAGGAAGAGTTTACTGGTATTACAAACTCCCTCAGAGGAAATCTACTCTTAACAAAGTCATGTTGTATCCTCCACACAGGTCTGTCTGAGGACTTCCTGTGTTCTATAGCAAGAGCGGAGCCACAGTCCAGCTGTTTACAGGCAACTGCTGCTTCCCTCAGGGCCCAATTATCTCCATCCACTGGTCTCCACTCTCCCAGTTTCATTTCCAGTGTACCTGCACAGCGACTGGCTCCTCCCACTAACCTGATAGGCTCTGAACAGAAAGCAGAGA